TATTCAGCTTATTGAATTGTTTGCTGTTATTTTCTGCATACAGAGTATGAAGCATGAAATGAGTCATACAATTAATTATTTTTTTAATTTCTGAAAATAAAATCTTTAATTTACAATATCACATATACAGGGTGTGATGAGAGACATCACGATGATTACCTTTACATAGAAATAAAGTATCAGGCTAAAGCAAAACAAGCTACAATTTATGCAAAGTGGCTTTATAACGTCAAAACAGCACATCACATCATTATGCTCCTGTAGCGTTATGAGGTCAGAAAAACCTCAAACAGACTGGCGACTGAATGCATGCGGTAAAAGATGCCAAAAGGAAGTCCAACATTCACAACAGCGGCCCACGTGCTGAATTTGTAAAATTCAATTTCAGTGCTGTGGTCAAACTGGGGACGAGCACCGAATGCCGGCATGATCCACAGCTGTTGAAGAAAGAAACAAGAAAACAGGCTGAGTATTTATTGAATTTTAAACAGTGAATTTGAGAGTGTGAGGAGAAGTAGTACTCACTATGATGTTGCTCAGCAGCAGAAATGCACAGACCTCCTTCAACACTCGTCTCTTCCACGACAGTCTGTGCTCAGCTGTGTGGTCGTGCAGGTTGTGCGCTGTGGGTACTGGGCTGGGCTTTGTGTCCATTTCTGATCCTTCACTGCTTTTCAGATCTGTGCTTGGCTCCTGCACATATGGATTCGCAACCACAGTGATGGGGTGCACCTCGTGGAAGGGCTCCCGATGCAGACCTTCGATGATGAAAAAGTTCTGCAGGCCGAGTTGGATCACCATGAGGACAGCCCAAGACAGGCTGAGCCTGTTCAGGTAGCCTTTGGCTCCAGTTGCAACCGTGGCTACGATGGTGAAATAGCTGATGATGAACTGTCCCAGTGAGGCTCCCACCAGCAGCCCCACATCCAGGCTGCGTGTGGGGTTTTTCTCCAATACATGCTCCCTGTGGTCCACCTTGTAGATGACACAGCCGATCACAGTGAAGACAGACATCAGGGCTACTATCACTATATTCATGATAAAGTGCATCATCACTGCGTTGTCTTTATTGTTTTTGTCATTATTGACTTTCTGAATTTCCATCTCATATAATATGAAGGTTACCAGACCCGCCACCACCAAGAGAACTCCTGCCACTGGACCGAGAAACACATCTTTCACATGGAATTTGGCGCGGGGGTGGTGGCTGTGTTCGACTACTACTCTACCAACATTTTTCCACAAGACGTAGGCCATGGTAGAGGCAAAAAGACTGTACTCTATGTTGAAGGGATACAAGTAGTAGTAGGCCTCCTTGAAGATGCTACACGAAGAGTGGCTGCACTTGCAATTTTGGTCTCCATAATCCGCTGTAAGACACGACAGGGCACAGGTTGAGAGAAGTGTTATTTGATCACCATTTCTACTTTGATTCCGTTATCTGCTTTAATTACCTTTGTTAATGTACATGCTTCGTCCAGAAAGTTTAGTGGTGTTGCTCGGATAGCTGGGAATCAATGTTTGGTGGAAGGACTCCTCCATGACCTCTGTCATCCACACAATTAGATTTGTGGAGAGGGTGAGCATCATGCCACAGCTAAATAAAAGACAAGAGGAAATAATGATCATAGACACAAAACACTTAATAATCTGCCTTACCCATAATGTCAGATTTTAATGTCATATTTATATGAGTGTAACATTTTAATTTACTCACCACCACATAACAATAGTCTTTTTTAACCACAACTAGTGTGTTACAATAATCAATTAGTCAGTTGGCAGAAAAATAATCTGCAACAATTCTGATAATCGATAAGGCACAATGCTTAGCTTCAGCAAATGTGAATATTTGCTGGTTTTCCTCTATAGTAAGTAAACTGAATGCTTCAAATGTGACAAAACAAACAATCCAAACACGTCAACTTGGGCTATGGGAAATTATGATAGGCCTAAAGCTGATGATACACGGAGCAACTTTTAGAGCAATAGTTCTGGCAATGTTGTCGTCAAAAGTAGGCTAATGAGTAAAGAGTAGGCTACTACCGTAATCCCCTTCCCCCACCACTCCGCCACCCGCCCCGCCCCGCCGCTGTCCGTTCAAAACAGAGTCAGACTTGCCACCAGCGAGATTGCCCAGCAACATTGCTCAAAAAGTTGCCCCATGTATCATCAGCTTAAATTTAAAAAAAATATTTTCTCAAATTCTATCAACCAAACGATTATTTGATTAATCAAGGAAATGATCAGCTGATGAATCTATGAGGGAAATTATCTTAGTTTCAGCCCTATTACAGTTTACTTTGACACAACTAATATAATTGCACACAAGGTCTACAAATGAAGAGAAAGATCAGATTTTGGCAGTGAAGCAACAACATTACTGTGGCAGCAGCTTTAGTCTGAAAAGAGTCCCCAACATATCGTATTTACAAAGACCACGACATATTCTTTTTAAAGGAAATACATGAATTACCTACCGTGTAACATTCTTTTGTAGCTGGACACAGTCCTTGGCATGGACCCACAAAAAGTATGTCTGTAAATTGATTGCACAAGTGTACTTATATTTAGCATTAAATAAGTCTTCAGTGAATTTCTAATTTCTTTATTTGTATTATTCGTATTTGGCATATTATGGCCTTTTACCTGCACGAGAGTAAAAACAAGTTGCATCACAGGGAATACCACTTTAACAGCGGACTCGCAGTGGAGGTAGCCCACATAGCTGCATATCTTGAAAAGGTCCATGATAATACTGAGGAGTCCAAAAATCACAAGTCCTCCTGAATAAGCAGGGACATATAGGGAGAAATCATAAAACTGCTCTATTAATAAAGAAAAACTTGGTTATAAAGCAAACGCAACATTTACTCACCCCTGAGCCATACAGGTCCGGCATGGCCATCCTTGTAAACCACAGCGTTTTCTTTCCTGGCCATGTAGATGGTATAATAAAGCATCCAGATGGAGGTCAGAAGGAGGAGGATGATGACGACAACCTGCAGCTCAGCGATGGTGATGTCTGCATTGTTGTAGGCAGTGCCGCTAACCAAGGCACAGCCGAGGATCAAAATGTTTACACAAATGATCCCAGACACCACCCATCCCCAGTTTCGACCCCGCTCCCTCACGACTCCACCGGAAGAGATGTTCAGGTCAGGTTCACCTGTGCTCCCCGCTTGACCCGGCCCGTTGATGTTGTTGGATAGGTGAGCCTCCTCTCTCTCCCTGTCTTTCGCCATCATCCTGCATGGTTCACAGGCATTGCCATCGTTCAAACAGCTGCACGGAAAGCCAGTGTTCAGACACATGGTCCCTCTCTCAAAGATCTATTGGCAAATGAGTTCTGTGCTGCACCTGGTTCCAAATAAGACATTGCAGGTTTAACAGCTACACCCAATAGGCTCCCTTTAAAGATAGATCCCGCCCAACTGATAGGCCTATCTGTTGAAATTAAGTGGTTCCCTGTTGGTGCTAGACAAAAGAGCAGGTTCAAATCAACAAATGGGATTTCATTTCCTCCTCTTCTGGCTCTGGTTTTGGCAAGTGATGAGTCAGTGAATCTACATTAAACCTCTCCATCTCTGATCTAATCAGGAATAACACAGGTCTAACACCGACATGAAAATGTAAAACACATATTTTATCGATGACAAAATTAAGCTCTTACGACAATTTGACAAAGCAGTGACCTTCTAAAAATGAAGGAAAAAAGAGTTCAGGGTACCTGTAAGCCTACCTGATGTAGTGTGATCCTGAGAAGCAGCCTGAACAGTCACAGCTTTTATATGCCGTCAAAGACACGGGGGTTTACTGTTCAAAGAGTCATAAATGTCAATAAATCTGTTATGAACACCATATGATTACTAAACACAGGTTGTTTTGCACAAAATATTCGTGTAAAGATCAAAAGATGGTTCCAGGAAAAACTCACAAAATCCAAAATACGAGAAACTGGTTCCTTTTCTAATAAAAAAGCTTCTTTTTTTTATTTACAAACTGTATTTAATTTGATTTCTGTTGTTATTGTAATTTAAATAGTATATACACAACAGATTTTTAAATTAGGAAAAACAAAACCGCAGGTGACATTATGATCAAAACCATTTTCATGGTCTTTTTGTATGTTTAAATACTTTTGAGGCCATGGATCCAGTTGTATTTGTCTTGTCCATTTCTGCTGAACACCTGCACCTATGCCTCACAATCCAAGCCCCATCAAAATTCCCTAAATAGGCGTAGCATTTGTCTTTTTGATTTATTGCTTTGAGTTTCAGTTCTTTAATCCTATTCATGACTCAGTGAAGAGATGTGTGTCTGTCTATACATGAAAAGCCTGGCCACTGTTCTTTTTGTGGATGTTTCAATTGTGTATTCTGTCTAATAACTTTAGTGCTTGCGGCTGATACACAGTATACCCTTTTTTAGGGTGGGGCTGAGAGCAGAGGTGTTTTTTTTCTTGCATCACTCCATGGTATTCATGAAATCTGTCAGAACAATGGTTTATTCAAAAGAATGATAATGACACCAGCGTGACTCTGATTCTTCTCTCCTGTAGCCTACGTGTGATTTAAAATGAGACATCTTCAGCATTTTCTCAAGTGTCTGTAACCTACAATCTTCATTCCCCCAACAAGTTTTTGCAACTCTTCAACTTTAGTGTAGTGGAAGATATTGTCTTGAAGATTATTCCTGCGTGATGAATGAGTTTGAAAGAATAGAGGAAGGTTTGCAGAAATGTTTTAAGATTTAATAAAATAAAAATGTATATATGTATTGTTAATTGATGTACATGGGACAGTGTGAGATAAAAAAAAAATTTATCTCGTATTTGTCTCTTGCAGTGCCTTCAGCCATAAATGGTAGGCTACAGCCTATGCTTATAGTAAACTACACTCAGTATCCAGTTTTATAAGTACACCCATCTAAAACGAAGTCAAATTCACTATACTTAAAAAACCTCAACTTGGCATCATTCACCTTGTCTACCCCAGACTTGCAGTGTGTTCATTCTGGGGGGATTTGTTGTTCGGACCACCTCGGCCACCGGGAGCACTGTTAGGTGCGCGCCGTGTCGTCCCTGGATACCACCGATGCACTCTGTCTGTAGCTCCTCCTGACCAGGAGCCACTGGCTGAGAAACGGCTGGGAAAATTGGCACTTGAGCCGATCCAACAGATCTTCTCCCACTATATCGCCGCTTGACGACTACGATGATGATGGTGATGGTGTTGATGAAACAGAATGGAGTCGAGCAGGGTGGATTAATACTGCACCATGAATGACAGGTACCACAAGGCGGCCCGGGATGGCTACTTGGACCTGCTGAAGGAGGCGACTAGGAAGGATCTCAACGCGCCGGATGAAGATGGCATGACACCAACGTTATGGGCTGCTTATCACGGTAACCTGGAGGCTCTGCGGCTGATCGTGGCGAGGGGGTGGGTAGAAAGCATTGGTCTCTGTATGACTTTCGTGCGCAATATAGGCTACACTAGGAAATTTACTCATATGTCCATCAGTCAATCGTCTCAGGCAATAAAACATTTTCAGAGCAAAAGTGAAGTATTTAATCATTCTCCCTTCTTATTCCAAACTTTTTTCAGTGTCAGATTAGCCAAACAATTACCCCATATGATCTTTTTTCATATACCCCTCCATCCAAATTGTAAAGGCAGTTTTTGTATACAACCAACCATACGTCCAACTACTTAAGTGACATATCAAGTACATCATTCACAATGCAGGGTGCAGCAATTATTATATAAGATACCCAGGGGAGAGGATAGGCTGTGACATAACTACTACCAACAAAATAATCTTTGCTCCTGGCTAAGAAGCCTTTAACCAATACAACCTGTTTGGTAACTAGTTGGCCAGGTCTGAAAAATGTTGGGGGAGTAACTGAAAACTATTTCTGCAATAGCAGGACAAAAAAAAACAACTCACATGCTATAAACAAGCCTATATCCAACTGTTTTTATTTCATTAATATATTCTACATTTTAAGATGAAAGAAAGCTTTGTGAGCTACATTCATAAAACTTTTAAAGTGATTAAACTTTCACCAAATATTTTCATTGCTTTGTAGTATGATCATCATCTGAAAGCCACATGCTGTGATTAATACCAATACTCAAAGCCACATAAGACTATGGACTGCATTAAATGTATCACGTCATGATGACACCACTCAAAGTCAAATGATTGCAGGGGCACCTTTCCTGAAAGCACCTGTACATGAGATGAGTCATTGAGAAATAACTCCTATTGATCAATTACTCTGCAGTCTTTCATCCAGTCACATTATTTTCTGTATAACAACTAACATCTCTGTTGGCCCATAAAAACCAACTGTTATGCAAAAGGCAGCATTTTGTTTATTATGTAGAGGCCCTATAGCGTAGTATTACATGTGTTAATTGTGTTATTAAGTCCCCACAGGAAAAGAATTTAATGAAAATGACTTAGCAAATTAAAGTAAATAGGGTCATTTTAGGAAGCTGCATCTTGGCATAAATGCTAGCCTTCAACAAAGAGTGCAAATGTGATTGGTAGGTCATGCATGGGCAGGAGCAGACAACAGTCTATTTCTCATCTTTTCTGGCTGACCTGGTTTGCTTGTCAGCCAGAAAAATGGACCCATTATGAATCTGCTTAATTGTGTAAATTATGTGAGAGGCTTACTGTAAAAGTGAGACTGCATCTTTTATCAGTATTTAGGTTATTGAATGCAACATATCAGAAAAGTTAAGGACTTCTTCTAGGCAACAAAGGCAAAAAACACTTCTAGTGCTACTTGATAATACTAAATTCACTGTTTCCCACGCGATAAGTGTAAACATTTAGGCATTTAGCTGCCAAGGACATAGTATTCCTCTATTGATAGCAGAAAACATAAACCACTGATTGACATGAGGTACTAAAATGAAACATTAATAGATGCCACAATGTTTCACAGAGACACTGAACTAGTGAGACCTGGGGATATAATGATGATAGGTTTATTACTGCTTGACAGTTTCATGGGAAAGATGCCATGCAGTGCTATATTTGGCAAGTATATTGCACTAGGTGGTCAGCAGTAACATCAAGCTGTCAGAGGAAGACACAAACAGCCCATAATGTGATAAAGAGCAGGGGAAGCATGTGGGCAGACCTATTACTGCTTCAGTCAGCATTTTACTTGGACAGACATAAATTATGACATCGTTATGGCATAAAGCTATTAGATGGTTGCTCGCTGCCTATAACAAGCATATTGTATATTCGTAAGGTGATAAATATTTCATCTCAAAGTAAAACTTGAACAATGTCTGTTTAACTTTGGACCTCAATTTATAGCATTTTATGTTCCTTCATCTACTTCAGTGCAGGTTTAACAGTGTAATTCCTTTGTTTCATCATTGTTTTATTGTCTGGACTGTCCATCATGCACAGTGATGACAACCATTCCCCTACTTTTGAACTCAAGCAACAATTGTTCCTAAAACCTTTTCTTTGTGAGCATTTAAACCCAATCCTGTTGAGACAAGAAGGGCAGGGGGCTGAAATCAGAGTGTGACTTTGCTAATCGCTGCCCAGGTTGGTTCTTGCAGATCTGACACACCCTGTGAAAACCTAACAACGGAATCTATCAATAATACATTGGCACCACAACAGCAGCTTCACATCCATCGTATCAAATGTTCAGCAGTCTGTACGTGGCTACATTGGAAGACAGGGACAAGACAGATCAGAAAACATGTACATTCAAGTGTTTGACGCCAATCAGAGGACTCTGAACTGAAGTAAATGCAGAAAGTTTGAATTAAAATGGTATTACCATTACTTAGTTGTGGTGGCCACAAAGAAGCTGTATATCATAATAAATAAATCCTGTTTTTGCTCGAACGTTATTGATTATCGCTAAGATGCTTAGCAGAATTCTTGTTTGAAAAAAATCAATAATAATAATAATAATCAATAATGAGCAAACAAATTAGCTTTCATAGAGTTGCATACCAAGCTTATAATGGGAAAGAAACCTCCACATCATCCAACCAGCTGTAATACTGTATGTTTTGACTTTTTGACATGAATTCAGCATGATGTTTATGTATAGTTGTGCTTTTTGAGTCAGGTGCAACCTATGTGGCCTCCCTTGAAACCAGATACAGGTAGTGTAGCATTGCTGCCAGCAAAACCTGTGATCATATTACAGACCAACAGTAACAGCACAAAGGTAACCCTAAGGTCATTAGGACTGTCAGCCAATGCTTATATTATGCTTATATTTTTAGTCATGGCCCCTGCATGATAGGAAATTCATTTTGAAGGAATCAGACCATCCATTTTGCCAATTGGTCAAAGCCTTGAAAAAATGTTGCCGACTGAAGATCTGGTGTTGGTTTTCTAAAAGACAAATATGGTGTTTAGAATATAAAGTATTAAATAAGGCCCCATTAACAAACCACAAATGGCAGGTCAGTGCTGAAAACATGATCAAAAAATCACATGCTTACTCATGAGTAAGTCATCAAAACAGAAGACCAAGAAGGCAACCTGTCTCCATAACAATAACATAACAGTCTGTGCAAGAAATTAAAATTTCTTGTAAGTATATCTGGTACGAGTTCTCTGAATCAAAAGGTGGTATCTAACATATTTTTGATGGCCCACAGTGGAAACCCTGACAAGTGTGACATATGGGGGAACACGCCACTCCACCTGGCAGCTGCCAATGGTCACCACAACTGCCTTTTCTTCCTGGTGTCTTTCGGTGCCAACATATGGTGCTTAGACAACGACTACCACACGCCGTTGGACATGGCTGCCACAAAGAATCACATGGATTGCGTCCGCTACCTGGATTCCATTGCTGCCAAGCAGACAGGCCTCAACCCCAAGCTAGTCAACAAGCTGAAGGACCGGGCGTTTCGTGAGGCTGAGCGTCGCATCAAAGAGTTTGTGAAGATGCAGAAGAAGCACCACAAACGCATGGAGCGGAGGTTTCACAAGGACACTTCTGAGGCTTCTGTGTCAGACGTCATGAGCTTTTCTAGTTACACCAGCAGCTCTATAAGCCACAAGCTGCGCGGTTTAAATGCAGCCACCGTCAGTGTGCCATATTCTCAGGTCAGGATTTTTATATGTCTATTCTTAAGGACCGAGTTTGTTTAATTTGCATTTAATAGTTGCATTGTTCTGTTTGCAAGTAGACAGAGTTTTCCTCTTAACTTCATGACTTAACAAAGCTAAGCTAAATGCCAACATGGTCACAGTGACAATGCTAACCTTTGCTAATTAGCACTAAACACAAGTTACAACTGAGGCTGGAAGGAATGTTACTAGTTTTGTAAGTATTTAGCCATAAACCAAAGTATTAAACAAATGGAAAATTGGCCAGAGGATGGTGATAGAAGAAAAGTGAGGGGATTACCAAAGTTTTTAGAATTATTCATCTGAGGACCATGAAAGTCTATACAAAATACCATTGAAATCCATCTAATAGTTGTCAAGATATGTCACTAAAACCAAGAATGTCAACCCCATGGTGGTTCTAGAGGAAAGGTCATGGATCACCATGGTCACAAGGGTTTGTTGTGCAGCCTTGTGTTGTATAATGATAAATAAATTACCATGATCCTTATAGGATTCATCATCTGTGGACCATGAATGTCCATGCAGTAGTGGTAACAATACAAGTGGTGGACTGACCACCGATACTGCCATTCCTAGCACACTAACATGGCTAAAAAGCATTGACATGAAGTGTAGCCAGTGGCTTCTAAAAAATATGAATCTATCTCTGTAAAATTAGTCGCTAGCAATGTTTGGAAAGTGTAACCCTTACATTTGTGATTGTGCCTAATTGCTTTATTATACATGTCCTGTTAGGCTACTCTTCATGCCACAAATCGAGGGAAGACAAAGATTCAGAAGAAGCTAGAGAAGAGGAAACAAGGAGATGGGACTTTTAAAATCTACGAGGATGGGAGGAAGAGTGTGCGCTCCCTCTCCGGACTTCAGCTGGGCAACGATGTCATGTTTGTCAAACAGGGGACTTCCATCAACCCGAAGGAACGCAGCCGCCGCAACATCCGTGACATGTTTCCCAGAGACAATTACGATGCCATTTCACGTGCCATGAGCGAGCCGGACCTCCATAGAGCCGATGTGGACTATTCTGAGATCAGCACTGATTCAGGACATGATTCCCTTTTCAACCGGCCTGGTCTGGGCACCATGGTCTTTAGGAGGAACTATGTGAGTGGGGGGATGTTTGACCTTGGTGGTCGGGACGACACTAGTGTGGACCAATCAGGCAATAATGTGCGTTTACGCAGTCGACTGCAGCAATACCCGAGTGCAGATGAAGACAGCATCGGCAGTGCACGGAGCCTGCAGGAGAGGAACGTGGAGGAGCTGCCCTGGGAAGATGTTGAATTAGGGCTAGACGATGATGATGAGCCTGACACAAGCCCTCTGGAGGTCTTCCTCGCCACACAGAGCATGATTGAGTTTTTCTCCATCTTCAAGAGGGAGAAGATCGATCTCGAAGCGCTGTTGCTGTGCTCTGACCGTGACCTTAAGAGTATCCATATCCCCTTAGGACCAAGGAAAAAAATCTTAGATGCCTGCAAGAGACGGCTGGAGACCATAGAGGACCCAGACTGCATCGAGGACACAGAACTGTGAGTGATGACACTTTTAGTTATAATGTGGATTAAGGAAAAATTTGGGAATATTTAGTTTTGTTATATTGTCTGTGTACTCCAGCTCAATTCCTCTTTAGTTACAAACTGAGGTTTCGTCTCTTGTCTTCATTCTGTCCTGCAGATAATAAAAGTTGTTGTAGATGGTCCTCCTGCTGTATGCTCATCCAGTCTTAAAGGTCAGTGGAGCATTGTGGAGTGAATGTCACATTTGGACGAGAAGGATGTAATGATTTACCTAACCTGGTAACTCGATGACAACAAAGCAGAAAGGACACTGTCAAGATGAATATGTCAAGCAAGAAGAGATGAGTGTGACATAAATTCTTAATAGGGTTCTTTTACAGTTTGTTGTTAGCCTCAGTAGGATCACTGAAAATTTCTCTGTAAGTTGGTTGGAGTCCCCAGCACTGCATGGTTTAACAAACTGAAAGACAATTATCAGAGTGCAGTGCTGTGCAGTGTCATTGCATGCCATGTTGCATAGAGAACAGAGAGCTTATTGTGGGGTCTGTGTCCCCTTAACGTGAACAGAGAGCTGATTGTGGGGTCTGTGTCCCCTTAATGTGTTTGCCCCTGTGGGGTAATCCTACCACCTCATGTGCCTCCATTGCTTGTGCCTGTGCATTTGCTTAAAAGTATATTTTGTCATAAATACTTTTGGGATTACTGTTTCAATTACATTTTGACCCAGAGCCACTCAACGGTTTCCTGTAAATCTGTAAATGTTTACATACAACAAGCCATGTCAGTACAAGTGTAGCTCACTGTCAATGCAGGCCAATGTTCACTTAGATTACTGTTCTGATTTACTGTAGTATTGTATACTATGTGAAAACAGTATAGATAACTTTAAAATAGACAATATACTAACATGTTCTATATTTCGCATGTTCAGTCCATAAACTAGGAGATAAACCTTTGTAAATCACTCATGTTAGTCTTCCAACTGTCTTGAGTAGTTTTTGGTAACACTTTACATTACAGCTTGGTGATAACATTGTTACAGTGGGGTAATCATTTTTGTTGTTATAAAAAAAACAACAACCATGTAATTACAAAGTAATTAACAGGTCATAGTTTGGTAATAACAATAAGTGTATCTAATATTAGAATGAAATTTATGTTACAGGGTAATAGATGGTTTTCTGTGCAACGTCATCACAGATATGTGCGCACAACTAGGGGAGAGAAAGCAGAACTCTGTCTTTGCGGTATATCAGTCTATACGACATATCTAGCATCACTGTTGGGCAAGTTACTCAGAAATTATAATAAGTTACTTTTTACTTATTACTTCCTTAAAAAGTAATACTTTTACTTTACTTATCACTGGGTATTTCAACCACCCCCATCCCATCCATAAAAATGACGGAAAACCTGTTCAGCAGCTCAGTTTAGAAATGAATCCACTTTCCTGGAACAATAATTAACCTTAGGAGTCAACAACAAGCCGAACTGAAAACACTGCAGCCTTTCAGACCAGATGCTGTACAGTAGCACAGTATTAAATATTAAAGTCTCTCCTGACTTTTCAGAGTGATAGTGAGGGGAGAGATATTACATGAAAATAGTACAGTACAAAATTCAAGAGCAGGGTGCTTTTGACAAAGCATCTGCCACAATGTTTTCGGAGCCCTTAATGTGGCGGATATCCAAACAATAGGACTGTAAAAAACTGAAAAGAATTACATTTCTTTGAGTAGAAACTCACGGGTCGTTCGTCCACTGTTGTCACACTGAAACAAAACAGCACCTGAACCTACATCACTTGCATCCATGTGCAGCTTGAAGGGTTGGTCCATGTATGGAGCTGCAAGAACAGGAGGTGAGCAAAGAACAGATTTAACATTTTCAAATGCTTGTTGACAAGAAGCTGACCAAATGTACTTAGCTTTTCCTTTTAGCAGATCTGTCAAAGGTGATACCACAGTTGAAAAGTTTTTACAGAAACTGCGATAGTAACCCACCCAGTATCCCAGAAACCGCTGGAGTTCCTTTGTAGTTGTGGGCACTGGATACTGCTCAATTGCAGTCACTTTAGCCCTTACCGGCCGCACGTTCCCCTGCCCTACTACCTTACCAAGGTATGTGACGGTAGCCATAGCAAACTAACATTTTGCCAAGTTAACTGTCAGCCAGACATTCAAACAGCTTCTTGATACGAACCATAGACTGTAAAAATGGATGTAGTATCCGTGACATCACCTGTTGGTTTCTGAAGAGTGCCTTGTTTGCTGCTCTGATATAAGTCTAGTTTAAACACAGAAGAATGTGGGCACATCCAAACCATCCTGTGGGTAAGTGCTCAAACAAAGAATGATCTGCACAGAGTAATTATGAATCCCACAAGTTGTTTTTTATTGTGACCTTGCAAACTCTGAGGTCTCAGATCTGATCGAATGCACATGTAGTAAACAGGTGAGTCTATACAATGTAAACCACACAAGACCTTCTCAGAGGTTGCAATAAATGACACCTGGTACAGGGCTTCAAAACTATTCAGCGTGCAGATAATTATTTTGTTTTTCACAACAACTTCTCAGTCAATGTCACATTTGTCTCTTAAGGAAATATCAAAATAAAACAGTATATAACATCAACCTTTCGTTTTTTACTTTCTACTAACATGTTAGCCTATAAATAACATCTTACTATTTTCATTTACAGCTGTTAACTATAATATATTGGTCAGATCACACTATAAAAAAAATTAAAATATGAAACTGATGATGAATGAAGAATGATTTTATTATGTATAATCAGTTTGATACACTTTTTAGTCTTCCTAATACAAAAGCAATAGTTTAGCTGAAGAGCTGGAAGCTGGAGCTGTTCTCTCCTGAAGAGCTGGAAACAGCTAATCACATCTGGAGGGTTCTGCAATCAACTCCTCTGGCACCTGTAAAGACAACAATGGGTAGACAGTTAAGCAGCTTCTTCCAAAGAGCCATAAAGCTACTAAACTCTGAGATAGCCTCAGCATGAAAACCTCTCTGGCATGTGACAGTAATTAGGGGTGGCAATGTGAAATACACTGTTTACTAATATGTGCAATATACGGTTTTCTGCTGGACACTGTGCAATAATTACTACTCGAGTCAGATCTTATTGAACGTTTATTATAAGGATCTTATTTGATATTTCTTATTGAACTGTACTATCTTTTTAGGCAAATTCTAATCCACCACACAAACTCAGAGGAGGCTCTCACACACAATTTCTCACCTTAACTAAACCATCCAAAAACCATCGCCCTAGTTTCAGCCCAGCTACCTGTCTGCAGGCATAGCCCGCATTATATGCTGACAAAAAAGGTGGATGCAAATCTCTGCAGGTAGCCTACAACAGCTGTTCTGCCGAATTATGCATCCACCTCTTAAGCTCCTGATCAAACGCAGTTATCACCTCAGAGTGTTTGCTGAATCTCAAGGAATGCTACATCTACTAAGTGTAATAACTTATTGATGACTATAAACTGCCTTTAATATGTATTTCTAATCAATCATCCCCACTGATGAACCACACAAAGAATAGTATTAGTTTTAAACAGTAACGTTATACTTGGAGGTGCACGGCTCTCCTTGGGAGAGACAGCTAGCTCAAATTGTGGCATCAGTGCTCCTCAGTATGACAGTTTCAGGCAGAACTCCGCAGCCGCTCCCCCCTCAGCTCTCTGCCTTTAAACCCTTCATGTCCATCGGGATCAGGTGCAGCCATTTATAATAGTATCTGACTAGTATCTAACTGAGCAGTGATTCCGTTACAGGACGTAGCTAAATCTCACATTGCCCATTAGTAAAAGTTACAGTCAGCTAACAGAGCTCGAGCCTTACTTACATCTTCACACAGACGCCTTTTCTTCAAAGCATTATCACCCCAATGTCTAACACTAAGGTTACATTTTGGCTTCTCTCTTCTTGCTGACTTGTCTTTGACTCATTAAAAGCTGCGGTTAGAACACAATAACTTGCTTACTTACACTAACTTAGCAGCTTGGGGCTGCTCGTATCTGGCTAATTAGCATAACGAGCAAACGTTAAGCTAACAAGCTATATCCCGACAGCGATACCTGTGAAATGTTAACACATAAATAAAATACAGGAATTTCACTCACCAAGTAGAACACGGATTTCCTGGAGGTTCTCTCTCCAATGAACTGCACAGCCTGCCATTATTCATCCGGTATCTGTATGTAGCAATGTCCAAAAGGCTCCAACAGACTGAGCCTCAGAGCTCCGTGTGGCTGAGTGAGGCTAGCAGATGGCGGACCGAGTGCTAGCAGTGGCAGTGACTAAAGGTGCCTGTCAATCAAAGCGGCCACACCCCTAATAATGCAGAACTTTTTAAACAGGTGAGTTATAAAAAAATTCACCCCCCTCACAGTTGTCATGAAAGGGCAAAATTAGCAATATGCACTAAAACCATTTTTTGAACCAGGCTGTAAACATGTTTTATTCTGCTGTAAAGTTGGGCATTTTAACATGGGAGTTAATGGAGATTGACTCCCTTCTGCAGCCAGCCTCAAGTGGCCACTTGATGAATTGCAGTGTCAGATGCTTCCGTATTGGCTTCAGGCGGGAGACCGGAAGTTTGCCACTTGATACAAACCAAATGTTCTTCCCACGTATCACTATAGATCACAACATCGTCCAGATACACAGCACATCCTTCCAGCCCAGACACAACCATATTCATAAGGTGCTGGAATTTTGCCGGTGCATTACGTAACCCAAAACTCATCACAGTATAGGAAAAAAGACCAAAAGGCATAACAAAAGCAGAAATCTCCCTTGCTCCCTTGGAAAGAGGTACTTGCCAATATCCCTTTAATAAGTCGAATTTACTCACGAACTGAGCCAAGCCGACTTGATCAACACAATCTTCCATACGTGGCAGTGGATACGCATCTGGTTTTGTGAACCCATTTATCTTGCGATAGTCTGTACAAAACCTGGGACTTTTATCTAATTTATTCTCAAG